AAGCAATCCCAAATTAATTAACACGTTCAAAACAGAAACGTAATAATAATAAGTTTTTATTTTTTCTTTTACCTAAACCCTTTTTTTGCCTTCATACACAAAACAATTTTTTGAAAATTTTTATTTTTTTTATCAACTCAATTTTGAATTGTATATTTTATATTCACACTTAAAGTGAATGAGTTTGTTTGTGTAAAACAAGAGCAAAGCTTAAAAAAAATTAGGCCTAATGATGGTTTGATATATTTGATTGTTTTTTTATAAAAAGAATATTATCATTTGATTATAACGAGAATAATTTTTATAAAGTCGTTATATTTGTTAATGCGACTATTTGACGTTGTTTGTCATAAAGTGGATTGACGATGTAGCGTTTTTTGTTTTAATGTTGAAACACAATAAAGCGATATGAAATTTCGTCCAAAAAGATCATTTTTGATCAATCTTAAGTAATTGAGTTCTCATTTGTTAATTATTTTAAGTAAAATAAAACTGACTATTGGCCGGTTTGGGTTGGAAAGGGGTTTTGGTATAGAAATAATAAAAAATGATTTGGACAATTTCCTTTTTACTTATTTTTCTTCTTAAAAAAAAGTTTTGGGTTGTGAAAGTGTTAAATTAATCAAAACTCATCACCACTTCAAGTGAAGTACAATTTTTGAATGTTGATTCTGGTATTAATATATATAACCACAAGCTTACTGTATGAAAAAATGGCATTTTCAAAAACTCCTTTTCCGAAATCGGTAATAGTCGAAGAAGGTAAAGTGACCATAGTTGAAGTAATTTTTTTAAATGCACCTTTTTTGATTTGAGTCACATCATCACCAAAAAGTATCAAAGATATTTTTGTTCTTTCAAATAAAAAATTGTCCAAAAGAAGTGATAACACTAAATTACTGAAGTGTTCGAGTGAAGTGCATCATTTGAAAGTATTATCTGGAATCTTTGTTGTTCTTTTTATAGTAACAGTTATCAGCAAAACCATATTTTAGAATGCTCCGGTTTCAAATCTATCTATTTGTACATTTTCAAAAGTGATTTTCTCAAGTTTCGTTTGAACAAATGCATTTTCAGTTTATTTGGTCACTGCATTTTCGAATGTAAATTCTTTCAAATTAACATGTCAAAACAACTCAAAACTAGAAAATGTTATCTTATTAAAACTATTGATTGTTTCCAATTTTGTGTCATTATAGAATGTTCTATTTGTGATATTTATTTCGATTGGAACAGTTACTTCTGTTAATGATATACATGTTTTAAACACTCCGATTCCAAAAGACTCGATTTGATCTTGCAAAGTTACTAAAGACAATGGAATCAATGAAAATGCGTTATAACCAAATTCAGACACACTTGAACCAAAAGTGACAAAAAATATTTACGAAATGTAAAAGCTTTTTCTTTGAAGTGAGTCCCTTTTTCTATATTAGTTGATGTTGTGATCTCAACACATCCACTGAATGTGTATTTTGGTACTATAGTAACCCCTTTAAAATCTGCGGTTATTAAATTTGCACAGTTACTAAAAAATTAGTACCAAACCCACCAGATGGATTACTCGTTGAAAGACTGAAACTTAGTCGAGTGTTTTTAAACACATAATTACAAATATTTTTAACATTATTTTCAAAAGATAAAATATTCAAATCACTATTAAAAAACAAAATTGTTGAAATATTAAACATTCTTTATCAAGTGTTTGTTTTAAGTAAAGTCCATTCTTTAAAAAATACTCGCTTAAATAACAAGAACATAACTTTAATTTCTTTTTGTCAAAAAATGCATTTTTTAAATGCTGATATTTTTGAATCTTCAATTTTTATAATTGTAGTAATAAAAATTAATTTTATAGCACCTTTAAATGCAAAAGCTTTAATAGTCAATATATTAGTATTTTTTTTTAAAAAAAATACTGGTTATTTGATGTATGTTTTTAAACCAACTTTTGTATTAATAATTTTAAGCTGTAGATTCGATAGTCACCTTGTTTAACAATGAGTTGTCCCACATTTAACAAAGTTGTTAATTGTGTTGATTTGATAGTATATTTTTGGCCTTTATAAAACCCAGAATAAAAGCAAATAATATTAAATAAAATATTAAATAAATGATTAATATTGATTTATTCTTTTTAAATATAACGAATTATTATTGTCAATAAAATAACTTACAAATTGGTACTTAAGAAAAATATTAAAAATATAGATAATTCTTTGGGCTAAAATACATTTTCTGCATTAAAGTTCATTTTTCCAACTGTAATTTAAAATATAAATTCCCTTTATAACCTAAAAATAAAAAAATCATCCTAAAAGTACTACAGTATGGACACTCTCCCCAAGGTTGACCATTTCCCTGTTAGATTTTTGGTAGATTCCCAAAATTGCATTATAATTTTAAACAATTATTGATAATAATATGTATTTTTTGTATTCATAGAATGATATAAATTGTATTGAAAAGAACCCAATTAATGGTAAGAAAATCTTATGTTATGTTATGTTATATTTCAATATCATAATTTAACATATATAAACAATGGTAAAAAAATTATAAGCTAAATATGTCAAAAAAAATAAAAATATTTTTTTTTTGAAATAATAGACATAATATAGTTATTCTGTCACCGAGAGCCGGGAACTATTCAAAAAACAATTTTATTAGGCCCAACAACTCCAAATCCTAGAAGATGGGCTTGATCTCTAATGAGAAATTAAAATGATCAGAACATATACAGGTCAATACTAAACTCCAATAGTTTTCTAAAACTATTTTAAGTCTTCAAGTGATTGGTTAAAACTTAAAAAAATGTTTTTATTTAGAAACAATTTTTGGATAACGATTGTAGGCCAACTCTATAAACATGTATTTTAAATTTGTTTTTTTTTGATGTCATTTATTACGGTTTCACACAAGACGAGACTTGTTATGATAATGTCTTGAACAGTTATAAACAAAT